ACAAAGCGTAGGTTGGAGACTGGACGATAATTTGCCAACACATCTGGGTCCAGGGAGGGCTTCTTAAGGAGGGGCCTCACCACCGCCTCCTTTAGGGCTGCGGGGAAGGCACCCTCCCGCAAAGAAGCATTTATAATTCCCTGGAGCCAGGCTCGTGTCCCCTCCCGAGCCGCCAGTACCAGCCAGGAGGGACACGGGTGCCACAATGCAGTGGACAAATATTGGGGGGGGGGGACTGTATAATCTTGTTGAAAGCAGGAACCAATCAACATTACCCACTTAGACACTGCTTTCCTGAGCAAAAGTAATCCAAGATAGCATTTCTGGTCCTAGCTCAAGTGTCTGCTTTCTGTTTCTTTTTTTTTGGGGGGGGGGGAAGAGGAGGAATTCTTCCACTGCCTTTTAACATCCTTATGACAGTTTCAATTTTCATAGGCAGAGTTTCTTCCATAGGGTGTTATAGAAATAGAATTAAATAAATTATAAATATACAAAAGAAAATGTTCCAAATAGCTGTAGAATTTCTGCCTGATATACAGTAGCTGTTCGATAATAATAAGAACTGCAAAGAATTTTCATACTACTCAGAGAGATTCCCCGTTTTCTTGCTCCATCCACAAATCGCACCTAAACGCTTGACACTCCTTAATTCGAAACAATCTGTAATAATTTCGAACATCGATTCCCACTTTATCAGTCGGCATGCGTGATAGAAAACGGGAAATCCTTTACAGTACTTTAAACTTCGAACAAAAATTATTATAAAATGTAACCCATACAATTTAAAAGAGCCTAACCGCACTTCTGAGCTGTCACGCAAGGGAGGTAACACATCTGAATTAAGGATCCTAATTAACCGCATCTCCGCCCTCCCATTCAAGCCCTTGCGACCTGTCTGCCGACCTCCTTCCTCCTCCAGTTCAGCCCCAGACGGGTGCGGCGGAGCGCACACCGCGCAGGCCCCCGCTACGGCTCCGGTCGTTGCCGTCCAAAGCCCGCTCCGCCCCTGCAGGCGTCTCTGTCGTGCAGCTGCCGGGCGCCTGGCTCCCGGGCACCACGCGGTAAGAAACCTCCCGAGCCACGTTCACGCTTGCTCACCATCGCCCTGTTGGCCGGAGCCGTCTCTCCTCCGAAGGATGCCACGGATCCCCAATGGGGTCTAGACCTGCGCAGGGCGGTACCTCTTCCCCCCCCCCGGGCCCTGCGCGACCTCCTTCCTTCTCTTTCCGAAGCCAAGTCGTTTTGCCCACAGGCGGCTTACTGAGGAATCCCGAGAGCGCAGGAAAGAAGCCCGCCTCCCTTTTCTCCCCCCTACGACGGACGGACGGACCTGCTCCCGCCGTACAACTGCCACTTCTGCGGGCGACGGGGAGGGTGAGGGAGAAGAATGCTGTGTTTCTTTCTCTTTGTTTTTCATCCGATCAAAGTCAAGAAGGAGGGGCTGTTATTGCATAACGTTCACTTAGCCAAAGGAGGCTGGGGGACTGCCAGCCAGCCGCAACTCTTCGGGAACCGATCAGCTGCGATTCGCCTGCTGCGCGCCTCGTCTGTTTTCTCTGGTGCGGTGGAAAGTTTCGGCTAGGGCCACAAAACCCCCAAGGCATCTCTTCAGCTCTTCCTCTGATAGGTGTGCAGAGTGCAGTACACCTTCGCTTTCTCTCTACCATATTTCCCGCGTCAGACCTTGCAGCCTTCCTCAAACCAGTAGCAGAAAAAGTTTGTTCTGATCTGAAGTACCATAATGTATCATAGTGAATATTCAATTCCTCTGAGCCCATCCCACCACATGCTGTCGAAAAAAAGAAAGCCTTGCTGAGTTGTCACTCTACAAACTGCCAAAAGGCAGGAAAGCAAGGCAGATTATTATTATTTTTTTGGGGTGAATGGCTTGCTCTCACCTTCCAAGGTATTTTCTGACTTGCTAGTCTAGCCTGTTGTTATTCAGTTGCTCAATCACTTCAAGATCTTATTGTCTGTCTCCGGACAGATGAATAACCATATCCAACCCTGCCTAGTTCCCAATCTCAGACCAGATCAGCCAGATTACCTGCTAGGACCTGAAAGTCGGAGTTTCAATAGTCATAACTTCTACTGTAAAAATGCTAAGATCAATATCGTAATGAAATTAATAACAGATAAGATGGCAGTTATATTAACATTGCATGCATTTTTGTACCACTTCTGCTTCCAGAGGCACTTAAAAGTCCTCTGTGGAAGTGCTCCTAACACTGTACAGCATGAATGTTATCACTCACCCAGATGGCATCAATGTCTGTTTCTTCAGCTCTGGAAGAGAAACCACAGAACCACTATCACTTCTGCCTTGACACAATAGCTAAAATTGAATTTAATCACAAAATGTCCAATTCTGCTCTCTCCTCTCCAAATGTACACTTAGGAATACTATAGATCAGGGGTAGTCAACCTTGGCTCTTTTATGACTCGTGGACTTCAACTCCCAGAATTCCTGAGCTAAGCTGGCTCAGGAATTCTGGGAATTGAAGTCCACGAATCATAAAAGAGCCAAGGTTGACTACCCCTGCTATAGATCAAACATATGGCACCTTGGTCATATATTTAAGAGCACGCATATCAATAAGGGGAGGGGGAAAAGGATCATCTTCATTGTCCTGAACGTAACCCATTCCTTTATGAGATTGTAAGACATTTGGGTATCATTCCAATCTATGAAGTTAAGTCTTCTGAGGATGGAAACAGACATCTGCTATCTTGTCAATTACCTTTTCCTCTCTGAAGCCTAAAATATTATTAGCAATGCCATGCCACAGGGAATCAAATGGTAATCTTCCATTAAACCTTCCATTAACCAAGTTATTGAATAAATGACATTGTCTGGATTCAGACAACTAAACCAGTCATGTGGTTTCTTTGTAATTTAGCAGATTCCATGAACCTAGGCATAGTCATAGATCCAAACTCTGAATCAGAGCCAGATGCCAATGCCTTTCTGAATGTACTCTGGCAATGCTAGTAAAGGATCTAATCAATAATGTCACCAAGAAGATCAGGCATGTACACTTGCTCATCTTCCAATGTCATACAGGTAGTCCTCATTTTATGATTACAATTGAGCCCAACATTTCTGTTGTTAAGGAGACAGTTGTTAAGTAAGTTTTTTCCCATTTTATAATTTTTCTTGCCACAGCTGTTAAGTGAATCACTGTAGCCGTTAAGTTAGGAACATGCTTGTTGTGTGAATCTGGCTTCCCCATTGACTTTGCTTGTCAGGAGGTGGCAAAAGGGATCACATGATCCTGGGACACTGGATCATAAATATGAACCAATTGCCAAGCATCCAAATTTTGATCACGTGACCAGGGGGATGCTGCAACAGTTGTGTGAAAAACGGGCATAAGTCACTATTTTCAATGCCATTGTAATTTTGAATTGTGACTAAATGAATGGTTGTAAGTCAAGGACTACCTATATGCTAATTCTGTAAATTGCTTAGAGAGAGCTATAAAGCCCTGTGAAGTGGTATATAAGTCTAAGTGCTATTGCTATTTATTTCTTTGTTTATTTGATTTCCTGTGCTACACAATCATCCTGTAAGTTTTATGTCAGATACTAATTTAATACCAGTACTGGCAATATGCAAAATCAGTACTTTAATATTTCAAGATAGTTTGCAACTGACCTCAAGGTGACTAGACTCAAGTAAGACATCAAGGGCATATTTCCACATCAAAGAAGGGAGTACAAAATTAAAATGTTCAGCTCTTATCTGTAATTTGAGCAAAGACAAAGGATTCTTTTTTTAACCATCCAGTACAACAGTTTATTTTATACCCAGTGATAAGTTTTTACTTTTGGTGACAGCATATACTTATAAATCAGCGGCATAGCCCTGGGACTCTGCATGGGTCCACAACATGCCAACATCTTCATAGCTGACCTAGAAAAAAAATTTCAACAGTGAGGACAATTAACCAGTGGAACAGCTTGCCCTCCATCACTGGAGATTTTTAAGAAGAGACTTGACAGTCACTTGTCTAAAATGGTACATAGGATCTCCTGCTCGAGCAGGGGGCTGGAATAGAAGACCTCCAAGGTCCCTTCCAGCTTCTATTCTATTCTATTCTATTCTATTCTATTCTATTCTATTCTATTCTATTCTATTCTATTGACCTTTCTGATTAAATTTTCATAACTTGGACCCACAGAAAACACTTTCCATTGAATTTCATCAAGATCTCAACCTTAACTTCAATGAATCTATAGAACAAGTCTTGATGTTACAGTAAAACTACACAATGGACATATAAACAGCATATTATATAGAAAACCTATAGAAATACTATCAGGCTTCTTTTGATCTTTGGCTACCATATATTAACATGGTTCTCCTCTTGTAAGAGAGAGCCAATCTGGTATAGTGGTTAAGGGTGCAGGCTAGAAACAGGAAAACTGTGAGTTCTAGCCCTGCCTTAAGCACAAAGCCAGCTGGGTGAGCTTGGGCCAGTCATTCTCTCTCAGCCCCAGGAAGCAGGCAATGGCAAAACACTTCTGAAATCTTCCCAAGAAAACTACATCAAATTGTCCAAGAATCAACACTGACTTGAAGGCACCCCTTTCTTGCAATGCTTCAAGAGATAATTCTCGTTTTTAAATTTTCATTTCCTTTTTATTTCAATATCTGCAATAGATACATCTTCCCAATGGTTTTTTGCAAAAAAAAAAAAAAAAAAAGGTGCCAGAACTCACACACATCATACAACCCGCCTTGCCTACCCTACAAGGTTCCATCCAAAAAAGGTGCCAGAACTCCGTTCTGGGCATTCTATGACAAAACAAAGCCCTGCATTTCAGTGGCGTAGCGTGGGTTGTCAGCACCCAGGGCAAGGCAAGTAATTTGCGCCCCCCCTCCACAGTGGGCGGCGACCTGGCGGCTCGGATCGGATTCGCACAGCCAGCACTGCAGAGAGAGTGAGTGAGCCAGGCAGGGGCAGAGAGCTGCGAGTGCGAGTGCGCCCCCCCAGATGTTGCGCCCGGTGCGGCCGGCCCCCCCTGCACCCCCCACGCTACGCCTCTGCTGCATTTTCCTAAGCAATGTTTAATGTAGGTGCAACTATCTCAAGATAACATTAACTACATCTGATGAATAGGATATAAAACTTTATGCCACGATAAATACATTAATCAATAAAAGACAAGAATATTCTTTGATTCCTAATGTATATTCTATGACATTAAGAAAACAGTAACTAAAAACAGGATGTTGAGTAGACATCTCTCTCTCTCTTTCTCTCTCTCAAAACACTAGAGTGCACAATCACTCAGCAAAATTGATGGGTGGTTGATTCAAGACAGACAAAAGAAACTTCTTTTTTTACACAACGTACAATTAACAGTGTTTGAATTTGCTCCCTTAAAATGTGGTAACAGCCACAAGCTATTTAAAATAGAACTACACATGTTTGTGGACTAAAAGTCAATACTAGCTATGGTTGCTTAAAAGGAATGTCCATATTTAGAGGAAGCCTACCGCCAAATACTGGCTGTTGGGGAATAAGCAGGAGTGAGCTTTGCACACACTTTGCACTAGTGTGTTTGTGGGCCTTGTGCTCTGCAGTGGCACTTGCCTAGCTACTATTAAAATCAGAGAGCTGGATTAAATGGTCACTAATCTTAATAGGTTCTTTTCTGGAAGAAAGTTGTACCATGTTGTTTCTTCCATTCTCTGTAGATCCATCAGAGAAGTACCAGGATTAAAAACACCAAGTTCTGCTAGCAAATGAAATATTGCACCTTAGACATATTTGTGATATAAGGCTAAGCAATTGCAATTTTACTGAAAGCATTCCCAGCCTTTGTCTCTAAAGACCTGCATGTCCTGAAGGTGTCAGGCAATTCATCTTTGGGAAGTAATGAATTATGTAAAGAGACAGTCTGTAAATAAGAGCAGGTGGTTTTGGTTTTTCTGTTGTCGTGCACATTTATACAACATCATTTATCATTTCCTGAAAATTACATATGAGATTAGAAAATGCTGTGAAGTGTTGGGCAAGGCCTCAGTTTTACTTGGCTCCTACATAGGAGGTTTAATCTGACCCACAGCTAAGTTTCAGAAGCTCTGTGCTCAGAGAT